GGTTAGTTCCTATTAGAAAGTATCGACCCCATAAATAAGGTTTAAAATGTTTGCAATTTTCGACTGTGGCCATTAATTCCTTTTGTGGTAGAGTATTTACGCTCGGCAGGATTTAATGTTCGGGAATAAAATGAAACAGGGTGTCCCTTCTGTGAGAGCACACCTCCAAGAGCAAAATTGGAACAGTGTGTTGTGAGCGTGAATTTCTCGTCAAAATGTGGATAAGACAGCACAGGGGCATTGATTAGTCAAGTTCTAAGCGTGTCGAACGCGTTTACGTAATCCTTAGTTTCTGTGTCTATTTTTGATCTTTTTTTTAAACACCGCGTCATTGCCTGCGCGACCCTGGCAAAGTCTTTGATAAATCTTCTATAATACCCCGCCAAATCATGGAATTGTTTGATCTCTTTGCTAGTTTTGGGCATTGGATAGTCTTTTACAGCTTGTATTTTATCTGGATTCGGTTTCACTCCATCCTGGGTCACAATGTGCCCAAGGAAAGCAACTTCCTTATGGAGGAACTCAGTTTTGTTCAATTGGACTTAAAGATTTACTTCTCGAGGTTTCTGGAATATTATGGTTAAATGTTGAATGTGTTCAAGTGACTTACTAGATCTATGTCATCCATATATACAAAACAGAATGTGTATAAATACGCTCGTAAAATGCTATCCGTAACTCTTTGGAAAGTGGCGGGCGCGTTTTTTAACCCAAAGGGCATGCGCTTAAACATTAGATGTCTATTTTTCACCGTGAATGCTGTTTTCTTTATTGATTTGGAGTCTAATTGAATTTAGTGAAATTCCTGGGCCAAGTCCAATGTACTGTAGTATTGACAACGTCCTAAGTTGCCAAGAATTTCCTCTGTCCGCGGTAGGGGGTACTTATCCTCAATAGTTTTTTGGCTTAACTTCCCCAAATCTACCAATATCCATTTCTGTCTGAGGCATCTAATTTTTTTGGCACAACCCAGACAGGGTTGCAATATAGGGATTCGCTGTGTGTGATTATGCCCTGTTATAATTGTTTTTCAACTTCTTAGTGATAATGTTTTTCAAGTGGGGTGGGTAACGATAGTTCTTTTGATAAACGGGTTCTGCGTCCGTCGTCCTGATGTGATGTTTGACAGCATTAGTGAATGATAACTCGCAACCGGGAAAAAAGAATACGTCGGAAAATTGCGAGCAAATTTTAAATATTTCCTCGTGTTCTAAAGCGTTTGCATGCTGTGTGCGGAGGTATTCTCTTATGTCTTTATCAGAGACAAATTGAATTTCAAGAGGTTGGCCGTCAATACTATCTAAAGGCTCGACAAACACCGGTTCTTTAAACTCTAAATTTACGTGTTTCAATTGGGTATAACACTTGATGGTCTTTTGCATGTAGAATTGCATCATGGAATGACACACCACAGTGTTCAAATTGAGAGACATACACGTCGTCTTCCTTTATATTAACGGGGATGGCGGTAACCTGTGGGTTCTGAGACGTTTTGAAGTCATACTGTGTAAAAGGGGAGTGAAGTTAAAGGGAATATCTCTATCACCTAATGTGATGATATTCTTTTTGTAGTCAATTTTTGCTCCTAATGTCACTAAATTAGCGGTACCTATTAAGGCATCGAAATAACGATGCCACTTCATGACTGAAATGTACAGGAGTTTCAAGATGATATTCTGAAAAAATAGGAAATTGCACGTTGTTTTTTCCTAACGTTTGAGCGTGCACGGATTGGATACAAAATGGCTCTTTAAAATACAGTTTGAGAAGAGTGAGTAAGCTATTGAGGGGTTCATCATCGAGTTCGCATCATGCTCCGCTATCAATTAAAATTTTGAGACCGCATAAAGTAATTAAGAACAATTGAGGCGCATTGTAAATTTGTGTAAGTCATCTCTAATGATGATTGGATTAGCCAAAAATCCTGATGGGTTACGTTGCTTTCTGAATTTGATTGAACATTCTGAAAAAGGAGTTGATCTTCCTGATAACTATTACAATCATTGTAATCATGTCTTTGTAATTAAGTTCATTGTGTTCTTTGTAGAGTTTCTCCGGTTCTTCGGGAAATGGAATCTCAAATGAAGGGGCTCCATCATACTCGATATGTGAGTTTACGTTATGCCTGATCGTTGAAACGCCGGACATAGGTTTAGGAACGTTGGTCTGTTCTTGTGGCATAAACCGTCGACCTACATCACCCGGTGTGGGGTAAGGACGATCTGGTTTGGGGGTTCGATATGGGTTGACCAAGTTTGAATTGATAATTTGATATGTTGTTTTGTACGTTAGGTATTGGCGAGCGTTGCGGGGGTGGAACGGCTCGAGGTTAAAAATAGGGTGAAAAGCTTGCGATAGCATATGGACTGCTCACTTGTCTTTTAAAGACATTAGGGAGGGGCGTAACGTGACTAAATTTCATTACTTGTGGATGATTTTGTTTAGGAGTTCCCCTTACTTGGTTCATATATTGCTCATACATTCTATCGTTGTCGTTGTGACGACAGGTCCTAAGGGCGTGATCGAGTTCGGTGATTTGTGCATATCGCAGATACGTGCAGTATGGTAAGGGTACCTGCTTTATACGTATTCAAGCTGAATTCTTACATTTCCTTTAATTTTAAATCTAAAACCGGGTCCTTATAATTTATTTTACATAACGATTTATACCTAAGGACAAGAGAGTTTAAACGATCATAGTAGTCATTATAATTCTCATTAAGTTTCAGGAAATTTTTTCTTACCATCTAGTGCTTCTGTTAGTTGATCTACGTTTGTATCAGAATCTATCATTTCTACTTTTTTTTCTTCCGTGCAATATTAATCATATAAACAATCAGGTAAATCTTTGGATGAACTTTGGCTTGTAGAAGACTTTTCAACATATTGCATCATGGATCCAGCGATCTTTTGTAGCGATTTAATTTTAGCTTCCTTTACTTTTCTTTGTTGGAATCCACTTGGCCTCTTTGGTTTATGTATTCCGCGAGGCATGGTGGTCCTGAACAATAAAAAAGAGTGAATTCTGAATATTTATATAAATTATGGTAATAATTACATGATTACATGGTGCCGCGTAAATAATTACGCGGCGCCTGCACCGCGGGTCGTAAGTTTACAGCTTTTCTTTGGTGTCACCGGATCGCACCCCCTTCCCCCTTCCCTAGCTACGCCACTGCTGGTTAGGCGTTGAAGCAATTTTTTACAGGTGAATAATCGGCATTCAATGTCTCTCGGCTTCACTTCGAAAACCACTGTCAAAACGACGAAAGTAGAGATGAGTCGGATGCGATGTAGCATAAGTTACGCCATTTATTGTAAATCCCTTAAAACTAATTCACACCTGGTAATTTTATTTATTTAATAGGTAATTATTTACACAACTATATTAGATGTGTACGTAAGCTTCCGCGGCTTCGAATCCATCGAATTTCTCGGCTGTTCCGGAGACGCCGCGTAGTTGGCAGGGGTGCCGACGTTTTCCGCCGCATTTCGCAGGCTTCCCTCAGGGTAGTGACAACTGGCGGCGGCTACGCGCCCGTTGATCTTAAACTATCTTGCCTGGGCTCTTCGGGAGGGGGCAGGTGGCGCTTGTGATTGGCCGGAAGAGGTTCTCCCTGATTGGGCCGGCTGTCTGGGCTCAAACCTGGGACTGGCGCCGGTAGGTCCCAAGGAGTTCACCTCCCGTTCCGACCACTGGGACCTCCCGGCGCCAAGTCCCAGGTTGGCCGCAGATCCCCCCTTACCTTCGCCACGTTCCCCACAAGGGAGACGGGGGTGTGGGAAGGAGCCTCTCGCTACCCCAGACTAGCTGTTGTTTGGAGAGGAAAGGGGGGGGATGGGAAGGGGGTGGACGACGAAGAAAGGAAGTAAAGCCGGGTTCATGGGTGTTTAGGTTACGGTGAAATTTGCCTGATTTGAACTGGGAGGGTTGTTGGCCTGTTTTGGCGGTGAGTGGTGCTTACGAGGGTGGTCCTAAAAAGTTTCGGTCTGATAGTGAAAATTGCAATTGAAGTTTTTTAAAAATCCTTTTTTTTTCAACATAATCACCCTTAAAACTGATGCATTTCATGCCAGCGTTTGTTCCAGCGCTTATTATGCATCCTCTGTAGTGATTTTCCGGAAATTCTGCAAAATAACCATTTACCGGCTGCAATTGCTTCTTGATTGGATGAAAACGCTGACCAGCAAGGATCATTTTGAGTTTTGAGAAGAAGGTGGAGTCCGAGGGAGCCAAATCTGGGGAATAGGGTGATGTCTAGGGCACTTCATAACGCCAAATCCGCGGGCAGTTTTCCCATCGCAAACACTTTTGTGAGCAAGGTGTTATTGTCCCTGAATGGAAGATGACTTTTTTCTTCTGCAAGTGAGTCTCTTTTCACGAATGTTTGCGTTAATTTTATTAGTAGGTTGGGTAGTATTCCCCAGTTATTTTTTTACCTTTCATGGTAATCAATTAAAGATTCCTTTTGGCATCCAAAACACCGGATGCCATGACCTTTCCCGCCTGAATTTTTTTTTTAATTTTTTTTTTTCATTTTTTTTTTTATTTTTTTTTTTTTTTTTTTTTTTTTTTTTTTTTTTTTATATCAGATGCACAGTCTTCACCTTCTTTGGGCGGCCAAACAACCGATTCTGCCCACCTGCTTTGGATTGTTGTTTTGATTCGTGGTGTGTAGTGGTGAATCCACGTTTTCATCCATTGTCACATAATCGTCCGTAGAAAGCCAAATGTGCATCTTTTACGAAGAATTATCACTGCACGATCACTCAAGGTTTCCTCCCATTCCATGAATTCTCGCACGGCCGCCTGACTCAAACGGCTGGCCGCTACAGCGAAACTACCGGGTGGAATGATGTGAAATTTCACGCACAGCCTTCCTGAAGGCAATAACTAACATGAGGGCAAAAACATGCTACTAGTGCTGCGATCTACCAGCGAGGCCGGAGAACTTTTCAGACCACTACGTATGCTCAGGGCGGTGTTGTGTTTTGTAGGAATGTTCGAGAGGTGGGGAAGTGTATTGGGGGGGTGGACAGAATTTTTCTGGGGTGGAGTGGAGAGGAAATGGGTGAAAACTTGGGTTTTTTGTAAGGCTTTTTCGCATATTCGTCTGGCGTGTCGAAGATGTCTTTGTCGAATGGGGGTGAGGTTCAGCGATTGTTCTTAGTCCTATGTAGGTTAGGTCATTGAGGAGGTCTAAAATTGCAGTCGGAAGAAATCTTGGTTTTCGAAGGTTTGTTGAAGTTTGTCGTAGTTGTCGTTACAGGTTGGCGGCCAGGTCTCACTAGTCTGTATTTAAGTATAGGTTTAATGTAAGTCTCGTAGATTGTAAAGTTTCGTCTTCGTCGTTGTGTGGGGGTGGGTGATGATTGGGAGAGGCGTTTTGATGTCTGTTGGCTTTTGGGTTATTTTTGTCAATGTGTTTTGTCCAGAGGAGTTTTTCGGTCTAGTGTGATACCCAGGTATGTCGTGCTTTCGGTCGCAGTTTATAGGGGTGTTGTCGATTGTGTGTGGGGGAGGGTTACGGAGCATGGTTGTTAGTTAAAATGGTATTGCAGAGCATTTTTTTGGGGGTTTGTTTAAGTCGTTTTTTCTTTTGGTCGCCGTGGGGTAATTTGGTGTTAAGTGTCTCTTGGAGAGTCAAAATTGAGGTTAGGTTAGTCGTTGTTTAGTCACTGTCAAGGCGGGTGTCGTCTGCGTAGATGTAGTCGTTTGTTTTTTGTAGCGGTTGGAGGTCAATAGATGTATAGGGAGAAAAAGTGGTCGGTGAAAGAACTGGCCCCCTTGGGCGGACGCCGGCTTGAAATTGTCGGCTTGAGAGGTGGTGTTGAGGTAGTTAATGTTGAAAGTTCTATTTGGAGAGATACTTTTAAAGAAGAGGAAGAAATTTCGGGATGTAAGGAAGTGGATTTTAAATAGATGAGGGTGTTGTAATTGAGTCGACAACCGTGGAGAGAAGTCGAGAAAGATTAGATTGGGACTGGTTGAATGGGTTTCCGTAGTCCGTTGGAGGGCTGGTCGCTATGTCACATGAGATGCGTAAAGTCCTGAAGTGCTGTTGATCTGTCTGACCGGAAGCCGAAATGTGTTGGTCGTTAGTCGTTTTGTCGATAAGTGGGTGTCAGTTTTTTTAGTAAGTATTCTTTCGAAGTATTTTTGGCCTAAGATACGTAGTAAACTGATTAGGTCTGTGTTGTCTGGATCTCGTGTGATTTGTCTGGGTTGGGGGAGCAGAATGATTTTTGACGTGTTTCCAGGTGTCGGGAAAGTAGTTTGTCTTAATGCAGGCATTGAAGAGATCAGTCAGGAAGTCGTCGCGTTTTTTGGTCAGTCTTTTCAACGCTGCTGCCGCTTAATAAACCGTCGGGACCTGTCGCCTTTGGTTTTCGTCGAGT